CAAAAAAAAAAAAAAAAAAAAAAAAGTGACTGTAACCCTCTCACCAGCAGAAGATTTGGGACTTGCCCTTTCACTATCATTAAGGTGTTTTCTATCTTCAGAAATCTGTCCATCCCCCTAGATCATAAGACATTGTCTTATATTTTCTTCCAAGTATCTAGTGTTTTTCTTTTAGATTTGTCTTTATGATTCTCACACATACTCCCAGCTTCATCCGGGTGTCTTTGTTATTCTTGGCGTTTTACTCTTCCATGTAGATGGGGTTTTTTCTTATGAATTTTAGAATCAGCTCCCCAAGTCACATGCACACACCTTATTGGAACTGAATGTGTGTATCACCTTGTAACGAATCAACATCCCAAGCATATCATCCAAGTATCATTGATGCCTGAACTTCTTGTTGTACACTAACTCCTGTGCATTTCCAGCATTCCAACACTATCTCATATCCTGCCTCCAAGACACCAAGCCTTAATCCATGCAAAATCTACCTCCAAAACTGCTTACCTTAAAAGCAAAATGACATGGAGCAAGAACACCAACTTTAATCTATTTACATGTCTGCCTCCCATATGAACTCCTTAACACACAGACCTATTTCCTGTCTTAACAGTGATTACAAGAGTAAAACAAAAAATAGCTAATAGTTATGGAGGACTTATTCTGTGCCATGCTGTGTTCCAAATGTCTTTATGTGAATTATTTGTTTTGTCCTCACGCAGTAGATTTTGTTATGGATCCTTATAACTGAGGTTCAAGAAATTAGGTAACTTGCCCAGAGTCATATAGTTTGTAGGTGAGAACGGGACTCAAGCTCCCAGGGTCTCACTACAGACTCCGAGGAAACTACTCCTCCACACACAAACATTCACACATTGTGCCTCACAGAGACGGCTCCCCGGATGAGCTCAAATTGAGGGACATTTTTCAAAATCCCCAAATAGTGACCCTCAAAATTGTTAAGTTCATCAAAAAAGTAAAGTTTGGGAAACTGTTAAGTCTATAGAAACCTAAATGACACCTGTTGTGTGGCACCCATGGATGTGATCCTGGGACACAGAAAGAGACATTAGGTAAAAATCAAAGACACTGACCCCCTGCGGCGCCGGTGGACACGGGGGAGCGGGTTGCGGAGGCAGGGTCGCCCTCTCAGCACGCTGCAGGCAGGAGGAATGAATTCGAGTTCTGTATTTCCAAAGAATGAGGACAGCCTCTTCCGTATAAGAGAGACAGCATCTGCTGATTATGGGTAGGAAGACCTGGTGCTCCAATTCCTGAGAACAATCGAGCTTTGTTTCGTTTTGTTTTGTTTTTTGTCTTTTTGAAACAGGGTCTTGCTATGTAGCTCAGGCTGGCCTTGAGCTCACTTTGTAGCCCAGGCTGGGCTCGAACTTGCAACGATCCTCCTGCCTCAGCCTCCCGAGTGCTGGGATTACAGGCGTGCGCCACCACACCTGGCTCGAACTTTAAAGGACAGAGTTAGTATAGTTCTAAAGAGAGAACTCAAGGACCCTCCACAAGGAGCTCATTGTCTCCCCCAAGTCTGGAGGATGGCTTATCGTTTCTTGGGCACCCAGAATCAGCAAATAAGTGGACATGGTTTGGATGGTGACGGGTAGTTCCATTTATACGGAAGCTATGACTGGGCCAGGCCATCTCAAGCTATTTGTGGCATGGATGATGCAGGAGTTTGAAAATGACACATTTCTCCAGAAATTAATTTGAAGAACTACTAGAATGCCCAAGTATGCTTTCTGAGACCCAGGAGGAGAAAGGCACCAAGTACAAATTTGAATTATAGGAAAAGAATGATTACTATGAGGGGGTATTCTCATCTACTTCAAGTTGTCCCTCTTCCTTCTAAATAATTATATATTTATACATAAGGGGAGGGAAAACTAAGGAAAGTAATAAAGCATGGATTTCATCCTTTTGCCCATGGTGGTGTATGCCTATAATCCCAGCACTTGAGAGGCTGAGGCAGGAAGACCTGTAATTCTAGGTCTTCAAGGCCAGCCTGAGCTACATAGTGAGTTCAAACCAAGAACCTTTCTCAAAAAATGGGGAGAGAGAAGAATCATCTTGATGATACTATATTTTTATCCCAAAATGTGATATAAATTGCTCCACGTAAACTGATATATGTGTGTTTTGCTGAGAATTGAATTTAAACACACTACCACCGAGATACATCTCCAGCCCACTTAACTGCTGTTTAATGTCTTTCAATAAAGTTTTCTAGATTTCACCACAGTGTTTTACACATATTTTATTTCCTAGTTATATTTTCTGACTATGCCTCATGTAAAACTCAAGTGAATATTTTATTTTTTTAATAATGGATAGACTTTTTTTGAGCAAATTTAGGTGTGGAGAAAAATTAATCAGATAGTACAGAGTTTCCATGTGCCGTCCCTTCACACACAGTTTCCATTATTAACATCTTGCATTAGATTGGTGCATTGGTTAACATGAACACATTATTATTGACTAAAGCTCATAGCTCATTAGAGTTCACTCTTTGTGCTATACAGTTCTGTGGACTTTGCCTGATGTGTAATTCATATATTTTTCTGCTACACTATCATACAGAAAGCCCCACTGCCCAAAAATCCTCTGGGCTCCACATGTTCATCCCGCCCCACTCTCAACCTTTGGCAACCACTGATCTTTCTACTGTTTTATGGGTGGGGTTTTTTTTTGTTTTGTTTTGGTTTGGTTTTTCTCCGGTACCGGGAACCGAACTCACGACCTTGCGCTTGCCAGGCAGGCGCTTTTGCCGCTGAGCTAAATCCCCAGCCCGTTTTATGGGTTTGTGTTTACCAGCAGTTCACATTGCTGGAATCATACGGAAGCCTTCTCAGAAAGTCTTCTTTCTCTTAACAACATGAATTGAAAGTTCCTCCATGACTTTCAGTGACTTGATAACTCTTTGTCTTTGTTTTTGTTTTGGTCGCTGGGTAATTTGCCATTGCACAGATGTACAATAGTTCGTTTTTCCATTCACCTGTTGAAGGGTTATCTTGATTGCTTCCATGCTTTGGAAATTGTAAACAAAGCTGCTGTAACAGTCATGCAAGTTTTTGTGTGACCAGAAGTTTTCAACTCATTTGGGTAAACACCAAGGAGTTCAGTTGTCAGACTGGGGTCGTGTCTGAAGAATGCCGTCGGCCCTTTGCACCTAGAGTCTGCCAACCACAGAGCCGTATCACACTGTTTTCTTATTATTGAGTTTTAGGAGCTCATATCGTTTTTTTGGTACAAATCTTCTTTAAATGTGTGTTTTACAAATATTTCTAAAAAAAAATATATTTCTCCAAATCTGTGGCTGTAATGTACTTTTTTTAATTTTTTTTTTTCAAAATAAGGTTTCACTATGTATACAGGTCAGGTTGACCTTGAACTCATGTAGCCCAGGCTAGCCTTGAACTCAGGGCTATCCTCCTGCCTCAGCCTCCCAAGTGCTGGGATTATAGGCATGTGCCACCACACTCAGTTTTTGCAATTAATTTTTATAAATAGTTTTTATTCAACAACCTTTCCACACTCTTGTTAGTTCTAGTAATCTGAGATTCTTTAGAGTTTTCTACTTAGATTTGTCATCTGCAAATAATGGTAATCCTATTTCTTCATTTTAAATTCATATAACTTTTTAAAATTCTATGCATTGTTAATATTTATGGTTTTTTAATCTCTGCCTTTCTCAAACAATATTGCCTTAAAAGGAGTATCTTCATCCTGACATGGTGGTGCATGCCTGTAATCCCAGCATTCAGGAGGTGGAGGCAGGAGGATCACCGTGGGTTCAAGGCCAGCCTGGGCTACATAGTGAGTTCAAGGCCACCCCGAACTACACAGCAAGACCCTATCTTAAAAACAAAAACAAAAACAAAAAAGAGGCTGGGGATTTAGCTCAGCAGCAAAGCGCCTGCCTGGCAAGTGCAAGATCGTGAGTTCACTTCCCGGTACCGGAGAAAAAACAAAAACAAAAACAAAAAAGGGGGGGCGGTGTTTTCAGCGTTCACTTTTTATCAAGTTTTGCTTCATATATTTTGAAGCTCTATAAGTGGTACCTGTACATTTAGAACTTATTATTATGAAACTCTATCTTTACCCCTGATCTGATATAAATATTGGCATATGACCAGGGTTTTTTTCACCTTTTATTTTCCATCTATGTGTGTCACTGTGTTTAAAGAGGGTTTTCACATACAACACATTTGGATCTTGTATTTTTATATTAGTGGGACAATCTCTGCCTTTTAGTTGAACTTCTTAGACATTCACATTATATGCAATTATTAATACGGTTCATTCTATATCTACCAACTTATTTTTCTCATTTGTCCTATATTTTCAGTGTTCTTTTCCAACCTTCTCTTGGATTGATTCAGTATATTTTAATAGTCCGTTGTATCTACTTTATTAGTCATGCATCTTTTTTCAGTGACGGCTCCTGATTTTTAGCATATGTCTTTAGGTCATCACCTGGCCTTCAATAAT